GCCTGGGCTCAGAAGGCCGCTGTGGTGCCGGGAAGCGCTTTCGCGGTCCCGCGACTCGCTCGAGCTGAGGCCCGCGAGCCTGCAGACGCCAGGCACTTGTCCACGGTCCGCTGAACCTGGGCGCGGTCCTTGAGCGCGGCGGCGCGCTCCGCCTCGGTGCCCTGGGCCTCTCTGCACCCCGAACAACAGACGCCCCGCCCTGCTGTGGGCGCGCGTGCGCTGCACCCGCTGCAGCCACCAGGTACCCCTCCCCGCTGTCGGCCACCACGCTCGCTCCCCTCCCCACCCTCCCCGTCCGGTCTCCCGCGCGCTTTCCCCGCTCCCTCTCCCTTGGCGACCCGGTATACCCCTCCCGCGTCCCTTGGGCTTTCTCCTACCCCGCGGTGACCTGGGGGCCACCTCCCACCTCCTTCTAGGGCTGGGCGTGTCTCCCCACCACCACCACCACCACCAAAAGAAAACAAAAAAAGCAGAGGACTGTCGGGAAGCAGCTTCCTAGACCTCTGTTTTGAATTTATAATTCCTATGTGAGACTGTAAACTGTAAGAAGTAACAGCATTCTGAGAGCGGGAGGCCAGAGCAGTGCGTGTAAAAGCTAAAGGAAGTTTTCCAACAGAATGAGTTGGTTATCTTCCCCCAGCCCGGCTCACAACTCACAAAAACACACATTCTGATGAAACCAGAAGGAGTTACAGAAAGGAAGCTGAGGACTTTGGGAGAGAGGGTACGGCGGGTTAAAAGTTGGTCCTCAGAAGCCAACAAAGTTTGGTCTCTGACGCTCTCAGCACAGGACGCATCCCAGGCTGCATCTGTAATTTACACAGTACAATTTACTGTGGGAAAACATAGGTCCAGGATGAGTGGCTTGTCCATAGTCACACCTGATTTTGGGCAGAGCTAGGACTATTAGCCCAGAACTCTAGTTCCTAGGCATCATTTATGAACAATACAATATGTAAGTAACATTTTATAGATACCTTTTTTGAGCCAAGAAACTCAGCATGATCAGTAGTGGTCTGTTCAGTCTTGACTTACTTAACCCTGAGGAAATAGGGTTTATAGGGTTTAGCTAAGTGGAGGCAGAGAAGGCAGATCTTGGGTGGGGAAAGAGCTTGAGCTGAGGGGAGAATGAGCAAGTCCACCAGCGTGTAAAAGTGTTTGCCTGGCCTGTGCAAGTGGACTGGATGAAAGAGTAGGGGCAGACGGTGGAGGGCTTTGAATATGAATGCTGCAGGCAGTAGGGCACAGTGGGGAACTGGAAATGCACCTACAGGGAAACCAGCACTTAACCAGGGACTAGGTTCATGTATTAGCTGAGAGTCTAAGACTCCAGAAGTCAGTCATTTAGAAGGAAAGCAATTTAAATATTGCTGTGGAGAGGAAGTATTTTAGTTCAATTAATAGAAAAACCCTTTTCCCTGGTTGTGTGTGAACAATAAAAATACTGTTTACTATCTGCTAAGCACTGTTTTAAGTGCTTTATAAAAATTAATTCATTTACTCCTCACAGCAAACCCACAAGTTTGCCACTGCTTTACAGATGTAGAAGGTGAGGCACAAAGAGGTTGCTCAAGCTAAGTAGGTCTGTGCTGAGGCAGAGTGGACCAGAATCAGATTTGGGTCCCAGGGCTTCCATTCATTGGTTGTGTGAATTTACCCTGTCTGAGCCTCATTTTTCTTAACAGTGAAATGCATACTGTAATCCCTGCCTCCTAATGAGACAGAGAATATGTAGGTCTTTTGCAAACAGGGCATTGTGATACCAGTGGAAAGTTATTATTTAAGTAAAGGAGGAATGCACTTCCAAGGCCAAATTCAGATTAAAAAAAGAAAATGACAAGCTTGGTTGACTTGTAGAAGTTAATGGGCTGGCCATTCATGGAGAGGCAAAGGTGGAGTCATAGTTAGAATTGTGGACTTTGGAGTCAGATGGACCTAAGTTGGAGTCCCATCCTTGCCCCTTATTAGCTCTGTAACCTGAGACAATTCACTTAACATTTCTGGTACTGCGTTACCTTGATACTCATCCATAAACTAGGCCTTTTCCACTCTTCATAGAGCAGCTGTGAGGATTAAATGAGATGCCCTTAATACAGTGCCTACAAAGAGTGAGTACTCAATAAAATGTAGATAAAGCTAATATTTTTTCTGATTTTTCTTTCTCCTCATCTTTTGTGTGTCTTATTATTCCCCCAGAGGCAGCCTCACCATGTGTGGGGGGCTAATCGAGAAGTATGTGGCTGCCATGGTGCTGAGTGCAGCTGGAGATGCCTTGGGGTACTTCAATGGGAAGTGGGAGTTTCTCCGGAACGGGGAAGAGATTCACAGGCAGCTGGCCCAGCTTGGCGGCTTGGATGCCATAGATGTGGAGAGATGGAGAGTCAGTGATGACACAGTGATGCACCTGGCCACGGCAGAAGCACTCCTGGAAGCTGGCAATGTCTTGAACTTGGCTCGCCTGTATTCCCTCCTTGCTAAGCACTACCAAGACTGCATGGGAGACATGGATGGCCGGGCACCAGGTGAGAGTAGCCAGAGGCAGTCTTGGACAGGCGGAGAATAAAGCAAGCCCAAGGAAGCGATTAAAAATGTTGATTGAGATTAAATATCAAGGAGACATTAGTTTTTATAGTTGTGATAAAAATAGAAAAAACCTAAATGTTTTTGTAATTTATTATGGTGACACATCTTCAGACATTTAAAATTATGCACATAAATATTTACTGACCTGGAAAGATACTATGTATTAAGTAAAAAAAAAATAGATTACAAAACACTATGTATCTTATAAATCCATTGTCATCAAAAGTATGTGTATACTTCTGTTGGGAGAGGTATGGAAGAATATACACAAAGATGTTAATTGTTTCTGGGTGATGGGAGTATTTATAGTTCCTTATATCCTTTTACTTATCTGTAGTTTTTAAGTTTTCTGTAATAAATGAGTGTAAAATTTTTTTTTCTTTTTAAAGGAATCTGGAAAAGGTCTTGTAGAGACTCCTTTTCTGTTTCCAGGTCTGCTCACAAGTGGTTCTTGCTCACTTTGGGAACTTGTTATAGCATCTTGGGCCACCAGCTGATGTGAATTACCTTTTCCATAGCTTCCCCTGTATTAGTTTGAGCTGCCATAACAAAATACCACAGACCGGGTGGCTAAAACAACAAATAATAATTTTCTCACTGTTCTGGAAGCTAGAAGGGATCCAGGTGTCAGTTTCATTTCTTCTGAAGGCCTTTCTCTTTGGCTTGTAGATAGTTTCCTTCTAGCTGTCTCCTCTCACAGCTCACATTCTTGGTATCTCTTTGTGTATCCCAATTTCCTCCTCTTACTGGGACACCTGTCAGATTGAATTAGGGCCCACCCTAACATTCTCATTTAACTTTATCACTTTTTAAAAAGCCCTACCTCCAAATACAGACACATTCCAAAGTCCAAGGGGTTAGGGCTTCAACATATGAATTTTGGGGAACACAGTTCAGCTCATAATACCTCCTGATGAAAGCTTCCCCCTCATACACCCAAGGGTCTCAGGTGTAAATAAGTCACAATGTTGGCTTGGGGTTTGGAGTTTGGGCACATTCATGATCACACTTCATAGTTTTTCTGTCAAAGAAAGCTGGAGACAGGGCTTGGTTTTCTCCTCCTGTGGGGCCTTTGCTTTGGTTACACTGACCCCATGCCCTACCTGGCTCTTCCCAGGGGGCGCCTCAATGCAGAACGCCATGCTTCTGGAGCCAGACAAAGCTAATGGCTGGAGGATTCCCTTTAACAGCCATGAGGGCGGCTGCGGGGCTGCCATGCGGGCCATGTGCATCGGTCTCCGGTTTCCCCACCGCAACCAGCTGGACACCCTGATCCAGGTGAGCATCGAAAGTGGCCGGATGACCCACCACCATCCCACAGGCTACCTGGGAGCCCTTGTGTCTGCTCTTTTTACAGCCTATGCTGTGAATAGCAAGCCTCCCCAGCAGTGGGGGAGAGGACTGATAGAGGTGCTACCGAAAGCTAAAAAGTACATTGTCCAATCAGGCTACTTTGTGGAGCAGAATCTTCAACACTGGTAAGTTTTTAGGTACACTCTCCTGCTAGAAAATGATTGAATCTGTGCACTCATGTGCATGCACGTGTATGCCTAAAACTCATAGAATGTAGCAACTCATGGTTCTCACTGTCCAGTTTTGTCATCCACTGCACGCAGCCCCTCCCACCTGCTAAGGATTTCAGTCCCAACAGTGGTGGCCACCAAGTAGCCAAGTGAAGACCTCAGTGCTTCCCTTATGTATAGGAATCCTGTTCCGTATTACAGCTCTCTGTAGTTTTTGTGGTTGGCTGTTCTTTACCGAGGTGAACTTTCCTGCTCATTTCCTGGAATTTGTTTTTTCAGTGTTGTCTTGACACACAATATTTTGAAATCCTTTGTTAAAATGCCTGAGAGAGAGGTTTTTCCACCAGCTAATTAATAAGTGATAAGGCCGCATCTTCCCCTTTTTGTGAGTTCACTTCAGATTGCCTTTCTTAGAATAAAAAGGTCCAGAGGCTTTCTGCTGAAATCACCGATGGTCATGAAGTTCCAAAGTTCCCTCTTGAAAAAAAAATATAACTATATAAGGATATGATGTATTAATTAGGTTGATGGTAGTGCTCATTTCACTGTGTATATCAAATGATTACATACACCTTAAATATGGACAATTTCTGTTAAGAAAGTAATACAAAATAAATGATAACATACATAATGACAGACTAAATAAAGTTCCCCCTTGAAAGTTGACACTTGACATGATTCTCAACTCAGGAAAAACAAACCTTTATTTCTGACCTTTTACTTGTGTTATCAAGGCCTTATATTATTCCTTAGCAAAAATTTATCGAATTAATGTCACTTAGAGCTCATTTTGATTTTTTTATATCGTATGATGTTAGTACCAGAAATTGAAATCATCTTGAAATTTTCCCTGTTCGCATATCTACCTGGTACCTTTCCTAATGGCTTTTGACTCTATTTTTTTAATTGACTGCAGATGTTTTCCTTCCTACAGGTCTTACTTCCAAGACCAATGGGAAAAGTACCTAAAACTCAGAGGGATTTGGGATGGCAAATCAGTCCCTACCTTCCCCAAGCCCTTTGATGTGAAGGAGAGGGATCAGTTCTACACCTCCGTGAGCTACTCTGGCTGGGGCGGCAGCAGTGGACATGATGCCCCCCTGATTGCCTATGATGCCATTCTGGCTGCAGGAGACTCCTGGAAGGAGCTTGCCCACCGAGCCTTTTTCCACGGTGGAGACAGTGATTCTACAGCTGCCATTGCTGGCTGCTGGTGGGGAGTGATGTATGGTTTTAAAGGAGTGAGTCCTTCCAATTATGAGAAGCTAGAATACAGAAACCGGCTGGAAGAGACAGCTAGGGCTTTGTATTCTCTTAGGTCAAAGGAAGATACTGTAATTACCCTTTAGGGAGAAGTGACATTCATTTCTGGTGGTTTCTCCTCTTGTGTAGTCCCTTTTCTGTTCAGTTTCATTTTTTTCAAAGTCAAGAGTCTTAACCTTGTACTCAGGGAATTTTGAGATGATAGTCCCTTGGGCACCTGAAGCTCAGTCTTTCCAAACTTATCCTGTCCTCCTTACCCTGCCCCAGATCTATCCCTCTTCTTATCCCGAGGTAGTTCTTTTTTTTTTTTTTTTGTTAAGCACTTGTCACCACCGGAAATTATATTTTTTTACTTGTTTGCTTACTTGATGATTTTCGGTGTCTGCAGTAAGCTCATTGAAGTCAGGGACTTGATGGGCCTTGCTCATGGTTGGGCCTGTAGCACCCAGAACAGTCCTCGCACAGGCAGGCATTAAATGATTTTCGCTGGCTGTCTGGATGTGAGTGGTGGGGAGAGGTGGAGTGGGGCAGCCAGAGGTACAGTCTTGGCTAGGAGATGGACTTCCTCCCTGAGAAGCTGCTTCTGTTCTGGGCCATCCTGGGCAGGAAGCAGTAAAGAGTCTGTGGGTTGGAGAGCTGTCCTGTTGCCCCTTTCATACAGTTGAGTCCCACTGCTGAGTAGAAAGACACTCTCCTTAAAGAAACAGGGTTTCTCCTTTCACCCAGTCACTTGCAGGCTTCCTTATTCCAGATCAAGTTCTCTAGCTGTTCAGGAGAGGTGTCCCCATTATCAGCCTCTTTTTTTTTTTTTTAAATAGAGGTACTAGGAAATGAACCCAGGACCTTGTGCATGCTAAATATGTACTCTACCACTGAGCTACATCCACCCCACCTCCTGAAGAGTCTTTATCTCAGTTAATGGGGTCAGCATCTCCCACATTAAAAATCTTGTAGCCTCATATCTGAGTCTTCATTTTTTACCAGCTAATCTTTCACCAAGTTTTTTCTATTTGTTTCAGGTTAAGTTCCCAAAAGTGGGCTCTGAGACAAGGACTTGAGTGCAAATAGTTTATTTGGGAGGTGATTCCAGGAAGCACTGTTAGGAGAATGGGGAAGTGAGACAGGGAAGGGAGGGGAGCCAGGAAAAAGTACATTAATGAGCAGGTTACCACTGTGGGCATTTGGGACTTAAGCCATCTGGGTCCTCTGCGCAAGGCATTCAAGAGTTGTTTCACCTGAGGGGCAAGCCGACCTGGGGTGTTTATCCACTGACTTCCATCTGACGTTGATTGAGGACCACTCCCAGGGATGCTGACTCCCTGGTGCTTCCTGGCCTTCCTCTTGTGGAATCCAAACATGAGTGTCTTCAGGTAAAGACTCAGAGATGCTTGCAGTGGCAAGCTGTATGGTGCATGGGAACAGTGAGAAGTATATGTGGGGTCCCAGTAGCATTTGCTATAAGGTTCTACCTCCTAAATATCCTTCAAACCTGTCACCTCTTTTACCTTGTTGCACCAAGTAGTTTTCAGCTGGATTTCTGCAATCCAGGCTATTCAGGTCTGGAGATGCTGCTCCTAGCTGCACCCCGTACTTTCCTGGGCATGGCATTTGACATGGGGTCTGTTTTGTTGTTGCCTGTTTGCTTGTCTTTATTCTCCTCCAGAGAGAACTTAGCATGGTGCCTGGGCACACAGGAGATACCTAATCAGTATATATTAAATGAATGTTGCTTATTAGCCTCCTGTCTAGTGCCTCTAATTCCAGTCCTACCTTCCTCATTGCCATCCAGAGTGATCTTTACAAATACACAATGATCATGCTGCACTTCTAAGCATGTTCCAATGACCACTCACCCCCTCTCTTCATTTCTTGGTGCTTTTCCCACTCTTTTTCCCCTGGTAAATTCTTACTCACCCTTCAAGCCCCACCTCAAGCAGCACCTCTTAGATGGCAGCCACTCTGACTGTTCAGGCCCTTTCTCCTCACTACCCCCACAGCCTTCTGTCCCCACACCGTCCTGGTGTGTGGTGATTGTGTGCCTTTTGGGTTGATCTCAAGCTGCTTGTGAGGGACTGTGTCTCATTCCTTTTGTGGCCTCCCTGTCTGGCCCATTAGCGACATTAAATAAATATTTACTTTGAAAGTTCATCAAGTTGTGTTGATGTGAATGCTTTTAACATGCAGCATGTGTTTCAGACACCCTCTACTTCCAGATTGCCAGGAGTGACCTGTGCTGGGCTATGAGACATGGAGGGCTTGGTGCTTCAACCAGGCCTGTATGCTGAGTTAAATAAGACAAAGTTCTCAAGTCTGTATCTGAAGCAGGACTCCAGCAAAGGCGTGGCATTTATCTTTCTTCCATACATAAAGGGAGAAGAAGATTCCGAAGCTTTTTTTCTGGCTCAGAAAACTCATATATACTTAAATACTTCACAAAACAAATGTGTTTTAAATATTACAACTAGGACAATAGATTCTTCAGCAGAACAGTCAGAATTGTATTCTTTTGGAGATGGGGGTTTATCATTTATACAACATGGTAATAATATCTTAAATTCAGATGTACAAGATAACTCCTTTGTAGGAATATTTTGAGGACAGCTTTAGAATAATAGAAAACAGTATATACATTTTTACACAAGATTCTTGAGCAGAAGACTAACATGGAGACTCCTGTGACTTTAATTTTCCATTTGATAAAAACTGACATTGTAATGCATAATTGTGTGTGCTTTTCTGCAGCTGTAGAAGAGGAAACATTTTCTCCTTGTCTTTCTGGGGTTTCTTTTATCAGTAGTCAGGAGAGCCTACAGTTTCAAGGCCGAACACTAGAAATCTATTAGCACTGACCAAACAGCAGAAGTGAGATGCCTAAACCTTACAATATAGACAAGGGAAGAAGAGTATTTTAACAAGTAGAATCTGAGGCATGACTTGTTTTATCTCTGTAACTGGTTTGGTGAATGGTCTGAATGTAGTGAGAAGCAAACATGAAATTATTTTCTTTTCCTCCAGCTACTGCCTTCATACATACTCTGTGGAAGCTGCTTTTCCTGCCCCATAGTGTCATCTTTACACAGTTTTTGGTCTTTGGAGGGGGCTGGTATTAAAAACTCAATCCAGTCCATCCCAGTGAAGTTTTACAAATTTTAGCTTTATCCAGGTATAAATGACATACAAAATCGTAAGATATTTAAAGTGTACATTGTAGTGATTTGATACACTTATACATTGTGAAAGGTTTTCCTTCATCTAGTTAATTAACATATCCATCACTTCACATATTTATCTCTTTTTTTCGGTGAAAACATTTATGTTCTATCTTAGCAAATTTCAGCTACACAATATATAATGTTATCAACTATAGTCACCATTTTTACATTAGGTATTCAGACCTTATTCATCGTATAGCCAAAAGTTTGTACCCTTTTACCAACCTCTCCCTATTTCCGTCACCACTACCCCCACCCCCCCCAGCCCCTGGCAACCACTTTTCTACTCTATTTCTATTAGTTTGGCTTTTTTTTTTTTAGATTCCACATATAAGTGGTATCTTGTAATATCTGTTTTTCTCTGTCTGGCTTATTTCACTTAGCATAATGTCCAAAGGTCCATATGTTACCGCAAATGGCAGGATTTCCTTCTTTCTCATAGCTAAATAATACTCCATTGTGTGTATGTACCAAATCTTTATCCATTCATCTGTTGACAGACACTTAGGTTGTTTCCCTGTCTTGGCAATTGTGAATAATACTGCAGTAAAGGAAAGAGAGGAGGATGAAAAAGGTGCTGTGTGTCAGGCAGTTCACCAGAGCCCGGGGCACAGCTACCTCTTTGGGGCACAGCTACCTCTTTGATACCCTGTTTTCATTTCCTTTGGGTATGTACCCAGAAGTGGAAATCCCAGTTCAGTTTAATCAATTCTAAGACTTTAATGACTTGCCCTCTTTCCTTCCCACTACAGTCAGTCCCAAGCCAAGGGGCTTAGAGGAGAAACGGGGACATGGATGCCTCTTTCATTTCTCCCCTCCCTCTCGGGGGTTCCCTGTCCCTCTCCAGTGTTGCCTTGAGACCACCCTCTTCAGTAGAGCATTGGTGGGAAAGGCTCAAGCTGGTTGTCTTCTGAGGGCTCCACTCATCCTGAGGGAAACTCATCCTTCCTGTTCACATCCACCAGTGCAGTGCAGTGCAGTGCAGTGCAGGCTGTCCCACCTGCTGTTCTCTCTACATACCCCCCATCCCTCTCACAGAGAACAGATCAGGCTGCTCAGCAGACAGCCAACTTGGGCGTAGATGCCACTGTCACCTTCATGTGGTCACCGTCAGTCTGAGCTGGTAGTTCCCCTTCTTTTGGCTTGTTGTGAGGGTGAGGTAGAGCACCGCCTTTCCTCCCCTTTCAGGGAGGGAAGGAAATCTCCTACAGAACTATGATTCTCATGATTTTTCCTTCAAAGTGCTGATTTTCAGCTGGGGGAGGTGGGGAAGGGAAATCTGCCTCCTAGTAAGCCCTACTGGAATTTGTCTTTCCGTGTCCTTCCAGCCTCCTTAGGGCGTGGTGGTGGGGGTGCATGTTGGGGGGAGGGGGTGATGGGAGGTAGGAGGGTGGAGTCAGCGGTTTTTGTTTTCCAGTGTGAAACTTCAGTCACCATTGGAGACAACAGAGAATGTCTCTTTAGAGATCCTATTATGTTTACTTTGCAAATTCTCACTCTTCATCATAGTCACACTTCAGACTCTTTTTTTCTCAGAACTCAAAACCTCCGCTCCACTTTACTCTCAGTTGGCAATCTTGCTTCCTACTTCTCTGAGAAAATACAAGCAGTCAGAAAAGAACACCTGCCACACCCATCCACCCTTTCCCACACCCGCTTTTGAGCTCCTGGACTGTGTGCTTTTCCTCCCACTGTGACTGTGAGTGCTTGGCTATGTGCATATGTGAGAGATAGGGAGAAGGGGGGAGGATGAGATTGAACAGAGAAAAGAGATAACAAACTTAATGATATACATAATGTTAGAGTAAATTTGAAAGATGACCTGAATGACAGTATGAGTTTGTCATCCTAATCAAGTTAACATATGTGTACTGAAAAACAGAATAGGTCATGAGTAACATTACAGGGATTAATGATATCCTTTGACATGCTAGATGACTACTATATTTGCTTTCTTTGTTACCTCAGATTGCTAGATGTTCTTTAGAAATCTTGGCAGTGTACACCTTTTAAGATCCGTAAAATTAGCATTGGCCTCATCTGCCCTTCTCCAAGTTTCTCCAGCTACCACATTCTCCATTTACTCTTCTGCCTCTCCAGGACAAGTAAATGTGCGTCTTTTTAAAACAGCCAGAGCTGCTAGGGGTGTGAGGGAGGGAATGGAGACTGATGATTTCACAGTCAACCATCCCAGTGGATCAGTTCCCCAGGGAATAAAGTTTGGTTAAGTATCCAGGGGTCATCCAGACAGGGCAGAAGGGGCAGCCTTGCCATCATTTTCTCATGTTTGGGGTTTGGGGCTTGGGATTTGGGAAGAGTGACAGCTAAGGAGTTAGTGAGACTCTCTCCACTTGGGGAAGGAAAGAGAGGAGGAGGAAGAAAGTTGCTGTGTGTCAGGCAGTTCACCAGAGCCCATTAACAGATGAAGAAATTGGGCTCAGAGAAGCTGCCATGTGTCCAAAGTCACGTGGCTGGGATGAGATGGAGCTGGGGTTTAAACCCAGGTCTGGTTGTCTCCAATCCTACCACACTCTAATTGTTAGCTATAATTAGAAAATGTTCCCTTAGACAAAGCCAGAATGAAACCCAGGAGTGGGATGATGCAGCAGCCTATGTCCTACCCACAACGGGGAAGGTGACGTCAAGAGGAAAGCTAGTTGTGGATTTGAGATCCACGTTGGGGGCAGGGGTAAGGAGCAGGCAGAGCTGAGTCCAGCTAAAACTGTGAAATAGGCAAATGGGTCACTTTCAATCCATTTCTTCCACTACTTGGAAGACAGAACACGGGGACTCTTCTCTCTTCAACCTTCTCATGGAACTGACCTGCAGTACTGCACGCCCAGTGCCAAGCTCTCAAAGTTCAGACGTCACTTCACTTTGTAGTTAGGAGATCTCAGGGAGCAAACACTAAACCGTAGAATTTAGTACCAAACTGTCATTTAAAAGCTGCAGTTTTCAGTCTTTCCCAACATTTAGAGGCTTGGAGACACCTCTGGTACATTTGTCCTAACAAATTTAAAGCAAGGCTTTAACTAATTCTTCCTGGGAAAACAGACAGAACACAGATAGCTTTAAAATGAAAGCAGAATTAGGCCGTTTGGAACACAAAGGGCATGAAGTACTCTCTCTCCATAAGAGGTGAGATTGTCTTGTGCTCATGCATTATGGTTTGTTCTGAGAAGGGGTGTGTGTGTGTGTGCATGTCTGTGCCTGTGCACGCACGTGTGCTCATGTGTGGTACATACAGAACATCAGGAGTGGAGGCCCCAAAATTGGAAAGGAACCTGGCAAAATTGGACTTCCTGAAAATTGAGTAGGATAAGGTCTTGAGCCATTTTAGGTTGTGCACTAAAATTTTGTGAAAAGTTCTAATGGGCTTCTATGCAACCTTAAAAAAAGAATAAGGCAGTTGCAAAGAGTTTTGTTTAGTGTGAAAAGCAAGATGCAGCGGGTTTGTGTAGTGGTCAGCAAATATGTAAAACGTTTGAAAAGGATGGCATAGAATATCTCCAGAAGTACATGCAAGGAAATGTTAGCAATGACTGCCTTCTGCTAGATCTGGGGGGCTGGGAGGAGGGGGTGAAGATTTATTTTTCACCATGTGCTTTTGTACTTCTTGATTTAAAAAAAACCCATTTACACGTAGAATTATTAAAGACGACACTTTAAAAAATTAATGTGACCTCATTTTATAGTCATAAACTGGTGAGGCCCATAATTATAATTTCCTAAGTTTAGTTTATATTAGTTATTATGTTAGTTTATATCCTCCCCATCCCTAACTGAAGGCAGTGATTCTAAACACACACACACACACACACACACACGCGCATACGTAAAAGCTTATTCACTTACTGAACTGTCAGCTAGAGATCCTGAGGGAAGGGGAGGAGACTGGGAATCTGAGCTGGGAACAAGCAGGCAGGGGACACTGAAAGGGATTCTGTGGATTCTAGGGGTTGTAACCTATAGCCGTCCTCTCCCCTGTCTTCCCCTCCACTCCCTTCTCTTCCTCTCTTTTTTTCAAAACAAGTATTTAACGAGCCCCTATTATATGCCAGGCACTGTTCTAGGCAGCAAGCACACAGCAGGAACCCTGAACAGTGAGCCCCAGACACTGCACACAGTGTCCTCGGTCTGTTGCGTGCCTCCCTGTGTTCCCGGACCCTAGGCAAGCAAAGCCTCCAGCTCCACTTTACAATGGGGGCCTAGATGCTGTCTCAGTACCAGGCCCCTTCCCACTGTCCTCTCTAAGTGAGCACGCCCTGCCAGATGCACAGCGCCTTCCCTTAGCAAGTATTGAGTACTGGCCGTGTGGTAGGCACTGTGCTAGGCTCTGGGGATACCTCACTGAACAGAAGAGACTAGAATTTTGCCCTCCTGAGGCTGACATTCTCTTGGGGCAGATGGACCACATATACTAATTATAAACTGATGTTCCCACAGTTTCCCTGGTAGAAAGTTCTCGGTCTAAAACATGTCACCTCATTTTCCAGGAGGACCCCACTTTCCTGGCCCCCTGAAGCAGTGCTACTCAGGCCACTGGCTTCTGTGAGCTTTACTTTCCTCCATGATAAATGGAGCCAGCTATGGTCAGAATGAACAGAAGGCTAGTGGCTCCAGCATGTGTACCGTCATCTGTGGACCCACTGGAATGCAGAGTCCTGGGCCCAACCCCAAACATTCTCATTCGGTGTGTCTGGGTTGGGCCCAGCGGTCTGCCCGAGGTTCCCTCAGTGATGCTAAGGCAGGATTCTGCCCAGGACCATTCCAGCCGCGTGTGGAGAGCACTGTACGAGATGATGAATGTGATAGGGAGGGTGCTCTAAATGCCAGCTGTGTTGCTGCACAGGGAACAGTGTGCTGGAATAACTGGTATGACTAGCCCGGCTGTGGTGAGGTGGTCAGGAGAAATGCGGTCCTCTGTCTCCTGCTGTGGGGAACCTTATTGATTGATGGTCCCAGCTGCTGCCTTTCTGGATCTACCCTCGTCTTTATGCTGAGTCTGACCCTAGCTAGTGATGGAGCAACATAAGGCTGCTAATACAGCTCATTGTCATAAAACACCGGGCTGCTTTAATAGGAGACTTGTGCTTGAGGCTTCCCCTGTCTCCTTGGCAGGGCATTTTGGAACTGTGGGGCATTCCAAGACTTTCCTTCTCCCTGTCCTTCACAGATGTCAGCCTGATCACGGTCTAAAGGCTCTCCTTGCCATCTTCAGCTCCCCTTACTCTTCACAGGTGTTATCCCCAATAAATCTCTTGCACACCTAGTCCCATCCTGACATCTTTTCTCTGAGGACCTGGACTTCTACACCTGGCTTGGTCTGTGACCTCAGAACAGCCTCCAGTAGTGCCCTGTATACTGCCACTCTTCTTCTTGGTGGCAGCAGCACCTGAGCAGTGGGATCTATGCATGATAGTTTCATCCTCGTCTTGAGCAGGCCTGGCACAGTTTGGTCCAGTGGTTGGTGCAGCCTGTTGGTGCAGTAGTTCAGAGTGTGGCCTCTGGGATAGCTTGTCCTGCTTCAAATCCCAGCTCTGCATGAGCTCGTGCAAGGTATTTAACCCCTCTATGCCCTGAAGCTACGTGTAGACAGTACTCACCTCACAGAGCTACTGTCAGAAAGTTCCGTACTGCCCTGCTGGTGGGTTCTCTGCCTCCCAGCAATGTGCTACACTTTAAGGAGTGCTGGGCAAGTACCCTACCTTCCCCTTCCCGCAGACTAGTGCTTTGTGGTTTCTGCCACTACCCTGAGTGGAGAGGCCTCACAGTGCACTGGAAACACCCTGGTTCCAAGCCAGCTCTGCCACTTCCATCAGCAGGGTCTCCATGGGTCATTTTCATTCTTTACTTCTTGGTTTCTTTATGTGAATTCAACAGGTTGAACGTCTCTTCTTAGAGGTTGGACTTTACTTCTAGTCCCGAGAGTCTATAAAGGAATAGTACTCCCTATCAGAGACCAACTTCATCTTCTTCCGTTCTTTCTGTTAAATGTACACTGACCATGTATTGTTGGCTCATCTCTGTACTGGGCACTGGGGATGCAAAAATGAAAAGAGAAAGTTTTTGCCCTCAAGCTGCTCAGAGCCCTCCTAGGGGAACAAACATGTCCACAGGTGATTCCGGTACAGTGAGGGTTTTGTGATCCTCTAGAGATGAAAGACTTCTGCCTTGGCTTTTACTAACGTTTTATGATGGGAAGTGGGAGAGGTGCAGGAAACCGTTTCCTGATGATGTTTGGCTCAGACAGGAAGGACAGTGTGTTTTAATGTCCCCTACTCTGAGGAAAAAAGAAAAGTATATTTATTTTCATTGAGAAGAAGAAACAGAAAAACTGTGGAAGTTAAACAAATAGGCAGAGTTTGCTTTTCTTTTACAGGTCATGGGGCCAGTTAATGGTTAGTGAGACCCAAGCGGGGCATTTGGTGTTCAAAACTCTGGGAGGCTGGGTTACGTGATCGATCTCTTCGGCGTTAGGGGTCAACTTCACACCAGCTCTGAGACTTCCAGCTCGGCGATGCCCCCAGGCCGCTGGGAGAGATGCTTCTGGTCGTGGGGGCTCCTTCTGTGGCTCGGTGTTGAAAGTACAGGTAGGTCGGGGCCTCCGGCCTTGGGTGGGACTTCTTTCAGTCAATAATTCTATTTTTCAAGCCATCTATTTATGCAGTGCTAACCTTTGGAAGGTCCCCTAAAAGCCCTCTCCTGAGATGAATTTAAAAGAGGGAGGGAAAAACCTACAATCATACTGGGAATGATAGCACTTTCTCAAGTCACAAAAATTGAACTTCCTCTAGTTGTTTTACTCATTTTCTAAAATCTGCATTACTCCTTTTCACCTTGCACAAGCCAGGAAGAGTATAAGAAAATAAAATTTGATTAATTCCAAAAAGTGATTCATTTTCACCTTATCCATTGTTCTAAGATATATTTAATTTAAAAATTTAAACTTTCCAAACTAACAACAATTTTTGTCGTTGAGATTGTTAGAGGTCCTTTCTAATCTTGCCGACCCAACTCAACTTCAGGTTTGTCGTCCCTCCTGGCAGGACTATGATAACTAGTCCTGTTAACCACAGATGACTGATGACCTTTAGCACAGATTCCCTCAGATGCCATTTGCATTGTACCTTTCCCCGTAAAAATCCCACCCAGTGCTCCCCCTTGCTTAATATAGCAAGTCTAAACCTTCCTGTGGTAGAGAATCTCAGAAGAGTGAAGGTCCCCTCCTCCTCCCAGCAGTGGCATCACCCTCGGAAAGCTCCCTTCCCTCTGTCCCCAACAGCAGACTGCTTTTCTGTCACCTCCATGAGACATTTAATTCTCATTCCTCAGCTTTAGAAGTTTCATTCCTTCTGCCTGGAGCTGCTCACACTACCTTTTTGTTGATTTCTGCTCTTCACATCTTCCAAGAGGGCTTACATTTTTGTACCTCCCTTGTAACACTTTAGGCCTTTACTCAGCACCCCTTCCCTGTTCCAAAGTTCAGCTTGCATAGTGTATTCACTATGTGCATCAATGGGTGGCGTTGATAAGGTGCTCCTTAGCTTCATGTGTGCTTTCTCCTAACTCAGTCAGTGTGTGTGTGTGTGTGTATGTGTTTGTGTTTGTGTTTGTAAAATGACCATGTATCTTATTTTATGAAATGGCTGTTTATACACTGTATACTAGATCTAAAAGGATTTGTCTCTTATACATTTTGATAGATGTGAGAAAAATTGTCCTGCAAGGAAGTTTATTAGTATGTGAGCATAGCTGTTTCCTCACCTCTCCACCGACACTTTGTATTATCAAATGGTTTTCATATTGTCAATCACATAGGGAAAGTAGTATTAAGTTGTTGTCTTTTTTTTAAACATTTTTTATTGATTTATAATCATTTTACAATGTTGTGTCCAATTCCAGTGTAGAGCA